GATAACCAGGGGTTTCCTAAATTATCAACCTGGTGACTTATCAACCAATCTTCCCTGCATTCTAATCCTTTTTTTTTTTTTTTTAAAAAAAAAAAAAAAACCATGTGTTCGCTGTTTAGTGCAGTAGTGTGGAAAGTGGTTTCATTTACTGTTTAAAAAGGAATTGTAATAATAATAATAATTGATAGTGTATAGTGCATATATTTATACTGTTGTACTGATACGGATATACAATGAAAGTGTTAAATTACAAACAATATATGCAATTACCATTTTTTAATTGTATCACTATATAAATTACTACATTAGTATTATGCAGATTTGTATTTTTTTTACTTAATTATAGATAGATTAACTTGGGTACTAATGCACCTATCAACCTAAAAGAAAGTTTACCTATCATTCCAAAGTGACTTTTGACTAACCTTTAAAATTGTTTATCTTTCTTTTATTGGTTTAGTTATTTGTGTATAACAAATAATTTAAATAAACATAAAAACCATATAAGAATATACTGTAACTTTTTCAGTTAAATAATATGAAAAAAAAAAGAGAAAATTAAAACTAAAAAAATATAAATTATAATTAAGATAGAATTGGTAAATAGAGAGATACGTATAAAAATATACTGAATTAAAAGAATATATATATATATTATTATGTAAGCCCGTGTAAAAAAATAGGATTTTCACTTAGCATTCATATATGTATAGCAACAGATGATCTAACTAGTCTAGTTAATCGTAATTTAACTCGTTAAATTATATGAATAAACCGTTTTATAAATAAATCAACTTTTAAGAATCTTAAAACGGTACTACTATGCATAAGAAATACCTTACGCTTTTTTATGCAAAATGTACAGCTAATCTGCCAATTAATATATAATTTTGCACAACTGCTACAAAATCGATCTTAGGCTCGTTGACGCTTTGTTATACGCGTACAAAAAAAACAAAGAATGTCATAATTAATATCTATATGTATAAAAAAAAATTTTTTTCATAAATTCCATTTATATACTCATTGAAACAATATTGTCAAAGATTATTGGAACTTTTTATAAATTACTGACTTGACGAAAGCACACCTCGCCGTGATCTCTCTGCCTTGAAGCTAGACTTTCTTAATTTCCTATTTTAAAATACATATTATAATACGTAATAGTGATATATATTAAGTGATGTTTCGCAGTGCTAGGCTCTCACTAATAAAGAAGAGAGATAGCTTGACTAGAACTTTGAGCAAAAATGGGTTGGTTAAGGGTGGCGGAAGTTTAAAACGTAGTATTACTACAAAAAAAGCAAAAAGAGATGTTGCAGAGTTTGTATCTTTAGAAGAAGTTCATTTAATAGTAAAAAGATGTGCTGATGAAGTAAGAGCAAGAGGTTTGTTTGTTATATCTACACTTTGTTTTGGATATCTTTTTTTTTTTTTTTTGTTTTTCAATCTAATCCTTTTTTTTTTTTTTGTTTTATGTAATTTTAATTTTTGCATTGCATATTTAATAGGTTTACACGAAATAGATATTTTCAAACCTGTCCGCATAGGTGATAGTATAGATAATATTAGACGCCTTATTAGTTTAATGTTGCAAGAGGACCGTACCCAATTCGAGGAAGAGGTCAAAGAACAAAGTATTCATAACGTTGTATCAGCAATGAAATGGGCCTTAAGACATAGTTCTACAGCTCTTGTTCCTTATCAATATTACGAAGAATTCGTTAGATATGAACAAGGTAAAAAAAAAAAAAAAAAAAAAAATTTTTTTTTTTTTCATAATGTATAGTTATGTTTTTTTATAATTTTATTATTTACAACCTTTTATTTATAATTAGAATGGGATTATGATCCAAGCAAAGGTTCCTTCAGGCAATTCCTTTGTTACCTTCCTAAACAAAATCAAGAAATTCTTACGGAATTATTTGAAATTTGCTCTCAAGTTACTGCTGAATCTCACATTAATAAAATGTCGGTACAAAGAATAGTAAAGTCTTTAGCTCTTTGCATATTGAATGATAAAGAGAATTCTTTACAAAATTTTGATACCGCTTATTCAGAATGGAGAAAATGTTCAAGTGCTTGCCTTCACCTCTTTCTTGCTTACTTACGTGAACTAGAATACTCTTCTCCTGAGCCTCTAAACCCACGCTTAACTATATTACTAGATAATTATGTAGAATATCGTAAAATGTCTGTCACTTCTGCTTATTTTGAACATCCTTTACCTGATATTACTGGCGATGAATTTCCTAAAACTAGATCTCGGAAACAATCTGTTGTAACTTTTGCTCAAACAACTGAAATTACAACTTCAAGAGAAAGAATAAGAACATTTGTTGAAACTTCAGATTCTCGTCCAGTTAGTATGTTAAGAGTTACTAGACAAATTCCTTCCTCCGAAATAACTACCGAAACCAGAACTTTTAAAAGTCGTACCATTATTAATCCTATGATGACAATTGATGAAAAACAAAATGCTGAAAAAATGTGGGAACAATTCCAAAATAATGGTATAAGTGCTTTATCAGATGATTTCTTGAAATTATACTTTTCTATTGAAGAAAAAGCTCGAGCTGGTCCGATAAATTCTACTTATGATTTAATGTTCAACGAATTTTCTAGAAAAGGATTCAAGAGTTTTCATTTGGATTTACCTAAAATTGTTATTGACGACATTACATCAGATCAAACATCAGATCAAATATCATTAGATCATACTTTAAATCAATCATTAAATCAATCATTAGATCCAGCATTATTAGATCCAGAATCAATTCCTCAAGATGATAATTCTATTGATGGAATGAAAATGTTGAGAAATGATTCTGGAATTTCTGTTAGAGACTCTCTAGTTTGGGATAACTTCTCCGAGAGTGGATTTAGAGATTCCCATGATGATTTAACGGATGTTAAACCTCCATCAATAAGAGAATCTATATCTGATATTAATAAAAAAGATTCAACTATAGCATTTGATATTGATAAAGGAGATATGCCAAGGAATTCTGTACAAAGTTCTGTGATTTCGGGAAGAAAATCTATTAAAGATAGCATAAAAGGCAGAAAGAAATTAGTTAAATTCCGTTCATTAAAAAAATCAAAAACTCGTTCTATTGATTCACATTCTTTTGTTTCAGAAAATAATTCAGAAAAAGTATTTTCTGATGATGATAAAGAAGATTGGGATGATTGGGATATTATTAGTAGTGAAGATTTACCTATAACTACCCATTTATCAATTGAAACTGTTGATGAAATCTTTCCTTACGTTTGGATGGAAACTACGGCAAGTGATCAAGCTGATCGGTGGGGTGATTGGGTTTTCATTGAACCAAGAAAAGGGTTAGTACATGAATGCGAATGGGTCATGATTGAAGATAAAGCACAAGTATTCTCTGAACAACAAGTTACAAGAACATCTAGGAGAAGAAAGATGAGCGCTATAAGCACATTTAGCATTCCATGGATTAGAGGAAAAGGGAAATCAAGACCTGTAAGCAAAGTTAGTAAAATAAGCGGAATTAGTGGTGTATCGAGTGTATTACCACCACCTCCACCTTCTTTAGCACAATTTAATCGAGCTAGAACTGATGATGATATGAATTTATTTACAAATTACAAGTTTGGAGGACAAAAAAGTGCTACTAAGATAACGAAAAGAAATATTAATGATCCAATAAAGTGGCAAAACATGACGCAAACCTCACATACGGTACAAGCAGAATACGCTGTAGAAAATGAAATGGGAGGAATGACATACAAAGGATATCATCATGAGACAGCAACACAATATACTCAAGGATACTTGAATGAAGAACAATATTATGATAATTCAGAAGAAGCTTTTGAACAGCCTCAAACAAATTCAATGTATCAAGATAACCAGAATGAATATCAAGAAGAAGCATATTTAGAAGATGGGTATCAACAAGAATACAATGAAATAGAAGGTCAAGATCAAATAGTTTATAATAATTATAATTACGCAGATGAGAATACGAGAAGTTTCTACGGTCAACCATCAATACTACAGGTACTTTATCCTACAAAACTCGAACCCATTAGTGGACGAGTCACACAAATCAATATATAATTTTTTTGAATAAAATTATCGATATTATTTCTTTCTTTTATTATTATTATTATTGTTATTATTACTATCTTTTATTATTATTGTATTTTTTTAAATTTTTTTTTTTTTTTTTTATATAAAAAAAAAAAAAAAAGTAAAAAAAAATTTAATATTTCTAACGTAAAAGGCTTGTTTAACGGGAGCGGGATCTCGTTTACCATTTTAACATTCTTTTATCGTTATACAGTATATATATATGTAGTTTTAATTTCTTATCATTATCGTTATGATTTTAACATTAAATAGATTGTAATCTAACATTAGGAACTTTAGAAAGATAACTGGAAATGGCGATATAAAAGGCATTTTCAATATTTCAAAAAGTATATTTACGTTTACTTAAAAAAAAAAAAAAAAAAAATTCTAAAAAAACACATTAAATATGTAATATTATATCATATAAATATAATAATAAAGTTAGGATAATATTTGAAATTGCTGTGCAATTTAAAAAAAAAACCCCAAAATTTGACGCGTAATGTAAGTGAAATCTTACGACTTGTTTTAAATAATTCGATATCGATATATTTTTGCATTAAGATCGAATTTTACAAATACGTGATCTAGACTGCATACTGTATTGCAGTTTTTTTTTTTTTATTAGAATAGCTTGCCTGTGTTCAGGCCTGATTCAATTTATATCTTTAAAAAAATACAGATGCACATCGATATGAAGATTAATACAATAACACTTTAAGATTCATTCAAGATTATAAAATTGAGAAATTAAAAATGTGTAAGTCTAAAGATTTTTCATCATCCAAGACGTCTTTAATTTAATCTCAATCAGCTTTACTCTTTTTATTCGTTTTTCCCTAAATACAGAAATAAAAACAGAATAATTGAACATTTAAGATCTTAATTTATACACTAAAGTATATATATTTAGAAAAAGAAATTCTTATTGTACCTCAACTTCAATGTTAACTATCTTTTTATAAATTTCTTCAAGTTCTTTTATTGCGCCAATAACTTGTTCTTTTTTTTCGATTGATTGAAGTTGATCGTTGTTAAGCTTAGATTTATTTTTAGGATCTTTTTGTAAAAATTCTTCGGATTTCTCGATCTTTGCCTATTAAGAAGTAAGAAAGTTTAATTTTGATGGTATATATAACTTATAAGAATAGAGAAGTTAAGAATAAGAAATACTTACCAATCGTTTATTCAACGCTTTTATTCTTTTAGCTACGAGATCAATACATTGAGTATATAAATTTTTACCAACTTCTTTGCGTTTTTCCACATTTTCTACGTTAGATATATCATTAACTTGTGAATCGTTTTTCAGTGGCTCCGATGTTTGCGGCGAAATTTGCGTTTGGGAGAGTTGAATGGTAATTTGTTTAACAACAGTATCATCAAATGAAGAAGTAACATCATCTTCCCATCTTGTGTTAGAGTATTCCCATTCTTCAACGATCGGCGTTAGCGTTGAAGGTAATAACCTTTTATCAAATACTTGCGTTTCTGGAGTAACAATTTGGAGATGTTCATAGTTGGAGTTAAAAACTTTAGGTCTTGTTTCTTGCGTTTCCGTTTTATATGGTCGGTAATTATCATGTGATTTCGGTTTTTTGTACTGATTTCGAAAGTTATTTTGTAACTTTGGTCTCTGTTGATCGTTACTTATAAAAGATCGTTCTACGCTTTTCCGAGAACTTTGTATTGCTGCTAATAACTCTGTTCGTTCTCGAATCTCAGAGTTTTGTGTTATCGTTCCATTCCAACTTTGTTCATTATTATCTATCCAACTATTAAAGGCATCTATTTCATCCGCTTGTAACACACCCCATCCTTCATTTGTGTGTGTTTCTCCCCAACCTTCATTAGCAGTTCGTGGATCACTCCAACTTTCGACATGCGTGTCACCACCCCAATTACTGTAATCAGACATTTTTAAAATAATGATCTGCTAAAGAAATTTTTGTACGTACGTACGTACGTATAAAGAAAAAAAAAAAAAGGCCAGAAAATAAGCAACAATGTAATCTTTATTTGGTTAAAGACTTTTATTTATATGGTTACGTGAGTTTAATAAAAGTCCGACATTCTTGTTTTGAAAGGTCGATTTCTTATTAATCTCTAGTTTTGTTGTTTTGTTATGATGAGATCATGTTACATATTTTTCTATATTTTGAATGTCGTAATAATTTTTACATTCTGAGAATTTTAAACAATTTTGTCACTCCGACCATATAAGTATAATAGTATCGGGTATTTGTTCACATGTTCACATGCCTTCCATAAATTGACTATAAATTACTATAAACCGATTTATATTGATAACGATAAAAAGTAATAATGTTTATAATTTCAAATTAACTCATCCCTCAATGACATTACTCCGCGACGAAAGGATTGTTTTAAATGTTGGAGGTGTCAAGGTAATTAACTTTTGATATAAACCGTTTTCATGATCTGTTACATTGCCAAAGCTAACAGTGTGTTTCTTGTACATTCGTTAATGATAACTTTTTTTTTTTTTTTTTTTTAAAAAAAAAAAAACAATTCTAAATTTATAGTATGAAACGTACCGGTCAACACTAACGGCTTATCCAGATACGTTACTTGGCACAATGTTTCAAGATAGAAATCGAACAATAGTTCATGCAAATAATGAAAATGAATATTTTATTGATAGGAATGGACATGCGTTTCGTTACATTTTGGAATATTATCGTAATGGTGAAGTCATATGGCCAAATGAAAACTTTTCGGAAAATGATTCAAATCTAACATGCGTATCTCGATGTGAACTGCTTAAAGAATTTGACTATTTTCAAATTCCTTTTGAAATTCCGATTACTTTGCCCACGAGTCAAATGTTGGCTAAAAGACTTGATGGATTCATGAACGCCTTGTTAGAATGTTCTTTTGATATAAAGTTCGCTTTTAGAACTTATATGAACATTAAATTTTATGATTATTCCATATCAAGTGAAGAAAATCGCCCTACTATGTTCGTCGTTAATCCTTTTATTGATAGTGTTTACAAAAAACTAAAACCTTTTGAAGCCTGTGGGTATACCTTGTCGATTTATTTTAAGGAGGAAATTAGTGCATTCATGACTGCTTCTTTATCAAAATTATCCTGTGATATTAGGAAAGTGAAGAGTCCTGATTGTGTAGTGATAAGGATGTATATTCGTGATAACATTGATTGTGAAGAAATTCTCAAATATTCCGCTTACAAAAAATCATTGTAAGATTTATAAATAATTGTCAAATATTCCATTTATAAAAAATTATTGTAAGATTTAATAATAATTCTCAAATATTCCGTTTATAAAAAATTATTGTAAAATTTATAATTATATATAATTAATTATAATTATGTTAAGACTTTGTATACATAATATATATATATATATATTGATTCTATTAAATAATGTTATTATAATCAAGAAAACTTTTATTTTTATTTTATTGAATAAATTCTTACTTTCGAAGTTCATCATGTCTTCAACGTATTGGCAAATGCTCTGACATCATTTATTCTAAGACCTTTTTGACTATGATCGTGTGCAGGAAATACGATCTTAACATCATCTAATCTTGCGATATTCTTAATAGACTCTTTAACACTATTTAAGTGAGAAGGGGTGGATGTAAATGGTAAAGAGATCACCGGCTCGGAACATTGAGAGGTTGAAAGATTCATTAAACTGTCTCCAACCATTATACAATTTGTCGGAATATGAAGGTAGGATATAGATCCTATGTTATTGGAAACAAATTCTAAGAAAATTTTAAATAAATTTATGAATTAATGATTAAATTCGAATTTTTTTTTTTTTTTTTTTTAGATACAATAGACTATTAACTCACCTAAAGTATGATCAGCGATAAAGATAGGTTTTAAAACATTGAAAAATTCGAATTCCTCTTCTTTCTCTCTCTTTATCATCACAATTCTATTTTTATCAACCGTTATTTTCCCTTCAACAGTTGCTAACTGTTGTGTATGAGTATTACCATTAACACTTTTATTATTTGTATGAAAAGATTCTGGTTCACCTAAGACAAGTTTTATATCTTTATATTCATCTAGTAATCTTAAGATAGATCCGGTATGATCAAAATGATCATGCGTTAATAAAATATATTTAAGTTGATAATTCGGAAATTTTAAAAAATGTTGAGTTAGAGCTGTAAAAAATTTTGAAATGTTATCAGGATCTGCGGTGTCTATTAAAATCCAAATGTTGTTGGATGGCTCAACGTTAATGAGAAATATAGAAACTGGCCAATGTAAGGGTCCGAACTGAAGATTAAATGTGGCTCTATATAGATTGGGAAAGATTTCTATAAACTTTTCAAAATCTTGAAGTGTAGATATCGACATTGTGTCAATTTTATGATCTCTCGATCGCAAAAAATTTTATTTATATATATATATACATATACGCACAATGATTATCCAATGGGAGTTTAAATTCCGAAAGAAGTTGAATCATATTGTATATAATAGTCTTGCTTTGCCGCAGCCAATCTGTTGTTGTGTTATGTTATGTTACGCGAAAATAAATCCTTTTCTGATAAATTGTAACACTTCAATAATACGTAGGACAAACAATTGACAATTACTGTTTCTAAATGAAAACTCGAAGAAACCAATTTTCCGAGCGCCATTTTCGTCTCTGTTCATTACGAAACCGTAATTCCAGCTGTATATTCTGGTCTTCGACTTTATATTAAAAGACTATTAAAAGATGTAAAGTAAAAAACATACAAACAGAAGTAATATCTCGTTACGGGTATAATTAATATATTAAAATAAAGAATTAATACAATAAGGCAACCCACCAGAGATGTGATGATGGTGATTCGTCAACTAATTTTCTCTTGTTATCTGACAGGTATGACGTATACACTTACGGAAAGAATTTTATATTACTTCCGCAGATTTTATATCAAAATTAATAAGAATTTGTCACATGATTTTAATAAAAATTTTACGGAAATAATGTGAAATTTTTTCCTTCAGTGTTTACATAGTACCTGTCGGATAAATTAATATTTTTATGATTCACTAGTTCTTCTGCAAAAGCGAAAGAGCAAGTCTTTTATAATCTTACATCATCGCAATATTTAAAGGGGCTTTTATTAATTAATCACATGCTCGATTCTTAAATGTTTAATGGATACTTAAGGGAGCAGTCATGAAATATGTCACACCTATTGATATATAAGGGTTATTTTATAGTATATATATATATATATATATATATATATAAACTATAATAAAAACTTTAAGCCCAGATTATTTAGATTATTTTAAACTTACATATTAATTTCAAATTTTAGCGTTAAGCATATCGAAAATAGTAGATTAAGGTTATTAAAAACACTTGAAATTCTATAAAAATTGTAAATTTTTTTAATCGAATTTTATAAAAAGAAAAATTTTCTAATGATTATATGGGCTAAGTGCTGGAAAAGGAACGAAATTGACAATTTTTCAAAAAATAAATCAATCTAGAATAAAGCTAGGATCTTTTTTCACTTAAAACACAAAAGTAGTTGTGTTAATAAATTTTGCAGTATAGCTCTTTAAAATTTGTATTTTCTTATTTCTTAAACTGTTTTCCAGGAAAATTTGCCTGGAATTTTGAAAGTATTTACAATTTTTTAAATAAAATTAAAAACTATTAATAATATGGGTATATTTTATATATATAATATTTTATTTAAAATATATTCTATAAGCTTTATTATAAATTTTTTTTAATTTTACTAGAAATCTTTAGAGTAATAAAAATTTAAAGCTCTTGCTTTAAAAATTTTTACTATAAAATTTTTCTTTAAATTTTCTAAATTTTTATATGTTTTCGCCTTTAAAAAAATTTTTGCTTCTAATACAAGTCTTAATTTTTATTAGTAAATCATTAAAGGTGTAATAATGAAAGTTGTCATCTTTTATATAAACTACAATATTGTATTAAGAACTATAGATTTAAAACTAATATTTAAAGAGTTTATCAAGAATTTGTAAATAATTTTTTTAGTTAAAATTTTTTTTTAAATTTATTATTTTTAGCTTATAAGCAATCCAAACTTTTTTTTTATAATATAAAATTAAATACTATATACTATAATATAATCTTTATTTTTAAATATTATCAAAAAAATTTTTATTTAAATATTTTAAATTTTAAAAAAAATTAAATTATAAACAAATTTATAGTAATTTTTCAAAAAAATATCTCTGGAATTGCTTATAGTTTAAGGAATAATCTATTATAAGATTTATAATATAAAAATTAATTTTTTAAAGATCTTTTTTTTTATCAATTTTGTTTCTTTTTTTAGCACCTATATGTAAAATTTTATACTAGACAAGTTTATTTAGAAGATAAAAATAAATTATTTAATAAAAAAAAATAAGTTAGCTATTATTATAGTTAAAATTTTTAGATAATATATATATAATTTTTTTTATTAAAGTAATTTTATTTTATTTTTAAGTAATTTTTTTTTTTAATTATTAAAGTTATAATTTGAATTAATTCTTTTTAACAACTACTTGTATTATAAATTTAAAAAAAACTAATCTACAAAATATAATTAATACTATAAGAATTTATAAAAAAAGTGGTTTGAAAAACTAAAAAATTGTATTTTTTATTTATAAATAATTTTTATATACTATTTGTTAAAAAACTCAGAGTTTATTATTTATTATAGAAGTAGTACTTGTTGTTTTAAAGATAGTTTTTATATGCTATCTGTTAACAAATTTAGAGTTTATTACTTGTTAAAAAACTTTGAAAACTCTAAAGTTTAAATTTTTAGTAATTACTAATAAACTATAAAATAACACTTTTTTAATTAAAAATAATATTTTTTTTTTTTTACTCTTTTATTAAGTTTATAAAATTTTACAAAAAATAG